CATGATAAGCTGGGTTATGCTTCAGCAGAGCTGCTGCTTAGTGCTGAAAAGTCTAATTTTCATAGTTATTTTTTTTACATTTTCATTTCCATTTTATTTCAGCATGTCTTTTCAGGTAGTCCCCTCACTGTGCGTGTATTCTTCCACATTTTTCAATCTTTAGTATCTCTTTAGATTTACAAATGGGAAGTTTCAGTGTTTGTCAGAGAGCAGATCTCTTTTGTTCCTGCAGAAATCTATTTGCCAATTAGAGGATAAACACAATCAGTGAAGAATTTATTTTTCACCTTTTTTTTAGTTGTTTCTTTTCTTTGCTCCTGGGTTGAAGTAGCAGTGCTGGTAAATATTGTTGTCTAGTTTCATTCAAAGGATTTTTAGTGTTACCTTGTTTTCTTCTATTTACATTACAATAAGCATCCTTCTCTGCATTTGTGTTCAGCAGCCCCATTCTTGCACACAATGAAAGATGCAATGAAATTATGTAGAATTTTCTGCTGAGCCTGAACCAGTGGAAAGGTCAGCTCTGGAATCCTGAAAAATGCTGGGAGTGCTCTGTTTGGGGCCTGCCTGGTTGAGGGTGAAGATTTCTACATCCTCTCAGCTCTCCCAGCTCTGGCAGAGGCACATGGTATAACAGATTCTTCCTGATATTCCATAAATGAGTAACTAATGTCTAAAAATAGAGTTTTAATGCAGAAATTCCTTGTGTAATGTGATACATACTCAATGCTGCACCCATAGGAATATTATTACTTTCAGACTGTTAGTCTTATTATAAATTCAGGTAGGGAGTTTTAAATTCTGCTGTTACTAAATTTATTTAGCAACTGAGCGTGTAATAAAATACCTTGTTGTGAAAACATTAAAATAAAATTAAAAGTAATAAAAATGTAATAAAATATAAATAATTTTAGTTAATAATAATAATTGAAATAATTATAAAAATAATAAAATACCTTGTTGGGACAAAAGTCTGCATCAAAGTATGGCTGTTTTCCTGAGACACTCTGAGTTTCAGACCCCATGGAAGTCTTTTAAGTCTCCTAAAGCAGATTTCAGCACAGAGCTATGTCTGTGTTAAACACTGAGTAGCTTCCCTTGGTCATTTCATAGAGAGGCATGACCTCTCCTCTTCCTCATTTAAATCTGCTGGCACTCACAGACAGAATTACAGAAATCCAAGCTGAGGTTTTAAATTCAGCTATCTTTCCCTTCATCTTTTAAATGCTAGTACATGGAATTTTTCTCCGTGGAATATTCTGTTCTTGGGAGATTTTCCTCTGTTAATTATTTTGGAGAAGAGTTTGTGCCCAGCCCTGGGTTCTTGGTTCACTTTCCCAATGTTGCAGATGGTTCTCAGTCATGGACTTTGGGAAGACTCTGCTTCCAAAGAATTCACTTTCTAATGATGATCTACTAATAACTGCATAGTAGCTCTTTTCAGTATTCAGATAACTATTAAAAAGATGTCTCAATTCTCTGAGCTCTTCATTTAGTTAGAAATGAATGAAAACAGGCTTAAAGTCAGAACCTTCATTAAATCCCATTTATGAGACAGAGAATATTTAAAATCTCAGTTAACTGGGGAATTGTAATTGGAAGTTCCTCAAGAGCTTAGGAGAATAATAAGTTAAAAACTGTGAGATGTCACAGGTTGTCATGAGAAAAATCCCATCCTCTTGAAATTATAAAGTTACAATGACTGCAATGGAAATAGGAGATTTGGGATTTTGCCTTGTTACTATATTTCAGGTAGAAAATGAAAGTTCCTTAGCTGCATAAATCTTAAATAGTTAATCTTAGCCTGTTAGTTAATGATATGATATTATGGTGGTATCTGTAGGCAGCATCCTTATTTTGAGGTTATTCTGGTTAATTACATCATATTTCAGCACTATCAAATCCCATAGGTTGCTTAAAAATAAAACAGTATAATTGGAAATGTGATGTGCATTAAGATTCCAAATTCTCTTTGCATTGGATAGATGCAATGAAATCCTGCATATTTTAGAGACTTCATTAAAAACTAAACATTTGGTTGTCAGGATTATTATGTTTTGACTTAAGAGCAGAATCTTTCTTTGTTTGATCTAATTCTGATGTAGAACTGAAGTTTGTGTCCAAGTATCTGCAGACAGCTGCTTGTTAAGGTCAGATTTTAAAGAAGGACCTTGTGGAAATGAATCTCAAAATAATTCTTTTTCAAACAACTTTTTAAAAAGTGGAAAAAATGGATCAAGCAGTTAATTTTTTTTTCATGGTTTTTGATTGCTTCAAAGGCATTTTAATAATTCCCTTTTTTTACTGGAGCCCTTTGACATTTTTCTTCTATATAGGCAGTGTCCACTAATTAATTTCATATTTCTATTTAAAACAAATTATCCAATATTTCCTGATTTGTACTTCTATGGATCAATCTTTTTTAAAAAGTTTCCATTTTTTCATCTCTTCTGTTTTAATCAGGCAATAAGTGGTTTACCAGTTTACTTTTCCCCTCAAGCTTTTTTGGTGAATAACATTCATTCTTAATAATTTTTCAGTAATTTTATTCCTTTTAATTTATGATTTCTTCTGATATTCAGTTGGATACAGATCCTTCAACACATCCCCTGTTAGGAATGTTCCAGCAGGATAAAAAACCTTGTGATTCTTCTGTAATAAAACAAATACAAGGAAAGTTCACAGGGATTTTCTGCTGGAGTTTAAATACAACTTCTTAAATACAACTTACATTGACCATCTATTTTCCAAGCAGAGACTTTGCCTTCCTGCTCTGGATGTGTTTGAAATGGATTTATTACCAGCTCAAATGTGTTTAGGAAGTTGATTATGAGAAACTTTGCTGTTCTTCCTTCATATTTTTGTATTTAACTGCAGAGTGAGGATTATTTTTTGTACCCTCCTTGTTTTCTCTCTTTTGCTGTAACTTCAACTTCTTTCAGAATCACATAAGAAGTATTTTTTTATTTCTTACAACTTCCTGTACTTTTCAATCTATGCCAGTTTTGGAAGCAGTTTTTTTTCTCCAGTGTGTTGGTTTCTTGATACTTATTTTAAAATAACTTGTTTGGATTGATTTACTGCTATTTTCAGCAAATTATTTGCTATAATGCTTCTCACAACAGAGAACCCCCAGGCACTGATAACTTGATGTTCATTTTTCAGCCTAGATTTTTTTTTGAAGTAAATTAGAAGTGGTTTTTTATAGTATGAAGAAATCATAAATCAAATTTCTCATTTGTAATTCTGCACATCTGTTTCTAAGTGGAGCTAGCCTATCAAAACCAGGAATAATACATCATTTAGGAAATCTACAGAGACAAGACATTAGGCATCTACAAACTGATAGATCTGGGCAACAAATAGATAATGACTCATGATGGTGATTAACCAGTGAATGATTCTAGTTAATGATATAAAATATTAATTTAAGCATCTAAAGGCATTTCTGTGAATTTAATACTAAGTAGCTAATTAACTTCATTATGGAGAGCATCCTTTTTTTTTTCTCCAATTGAATTTTGTATCTGCCATTCTACAATTCTCAGGTTAGATTTTATGTTTGACTTTTGTGACTGTTTTAAACTGGTAAACTGGATTTTGATGAGTCATTAAACATTTTACAGTGATTTCTGTGACTTCTTGAATTTTCTTGTCCACTGAAACTGAGCAATGGGCTGGGGTTATTTTCACTCAGCTCCTGACTAATCCCATCTAACAGCTTTTGAAAGAGTGGTGAGCAGTACAGATAAAGGGCAGAGGGCTGCAAGTCCCAGGTCAGCTTTTCCCAAAGGAAATGTAAGGCTAAATTGTTCAGAAACAGTGACCTTTAAAGGAATACTCAGAATATTCTGCACTTAGAGAAATCCTGTCTTCCAGAGTCATTGCAGAATTCCTCACAAGTCTATCAGACTGAAAAGTGAATTGTCTGATCCTTGTGGCTCCTTCCTCCCTGGCTCTGCCCTTTGCTTTGGTTTTCCCTGGTTGTACCCTCAGTATTTTGCTTTTTCTCTCAGGATGTCCCTCCCTTTGGTGTCAGTCCTGCTGCTCCTGCTTAGACTTCCACAAGTTTCCATAAATTCTTAACATCCTCTGACAGCTCTTTAAAAACAGTATCTGTCTTCTCATCTTGCAAAAGTAAAGGGGAAGGAAAGGTTAGTTATTTTAGTTGGGGGATTTTTTGAAGAGTAAGAAAAAGCATGTCTGTCATAGCGTAAGAAAATGAGTTTTGTTCATTCTTCAGCATAACAAGGGCATGGAAAAAACTTCAGGTTACAGTAGTTCTCAGCAGTTTTCTAACCTTAGGTCCTGTACTTGCATAATGTCAGAACTTGTTTTTCCAAAAACAAACATTCACTTTCCCCCCAGCACATACTACCCTGGTTTTCATGTTATATTTGTTGCATTGGTAAAGGTCTATCATTACTCACCTGAGCTGAATTATCCTTGATTTAAGTGAAGGGAAATTGCATCCATCTCTTCTTAAGCTGATTGAAAAATAAAAATAATAATTTACAACTACAACTCTAACATCTGTGGAGGGTTGAGAGTGACCTGTGAGTGTTTTTAGAAGAGCCCTGAAAGCACAAGAGTGGTTACAGTTTTACACCCTGTGTGATTTTAGCCTGAGTCATGTTCCATGGAGAATCATGGAATGGCTTTGACTGGAGGAGACCCTAAAGTTCATCCCACTCCCACTGTCCCAGGCTGCTCCAAGCTCCATCCAGCCTCATCTTGGACACTTCAGGGATCCAGGGGCAGCCGCAGCTTCTCTGGGCATCCTGTGCCAGGGCCTGCCCACCCAATGTCCCATCTAACCCTGCCCTGTGTCCATGGGGAACATCCCCTGTGTCCTGTCACTCCAGTTCCTGATGGAATAAATCTCAATTTCCTTGTAACCCCCTTGAGACCCTGGCAGTGTCCTGCACAGCTCCTTGATGTCACAGTCTGGTGGTGCCTGTATGCATTTTAAATACAGTTTTTTATTTTCTTTTTTCTAGGCCTATTCTGTCTATGATGAAGACATTGGCTATTGCCAGGGACAGTCCTTCCTTGCAGCTGTGCTTCTGCTTCATGTGAGTTAATTGCAGAATGAAAGCTTTGATATTTGAAACCAAGGCAGCTGTAAAATCAGTTGTAGTGCAGCCGTGCTGTTTGACAGATATTTATGTTATTTATTTGCCTGTATTAATTTTCCTCTTGTTGCTTTTTTGCTGTAGAGATTAATGTCTTCTACCTTCATGAATGTAGATTTTGTTTATCTGGGAGAAATCAATTAATTTCTCAAATACTGCTGTGTCAAAACTTGAAACCAATTTGTTACATATTAATTTTTTCTTTTAATTTAGTTGTCACCTAAGTAAGCTCCCTTTGTGTTTATGGGGAATTTAACTCCAGGAGACATTCTCAGAGCAGATCATCAAAGCAAGTAGTCTCACTAATTTTTTAGAAGATTTCTTTTCTTCTCCTAGGGACATTTTGTAATATCTTCTGAGGGAAAGCTGATTTTTTAACCTTGATATTTTAGCCTGCAATCAAACACTGCACAAACTTTGATCTGTTGCTTGCTTTATAAACACATGGGTATATGTCCAGAGATAAATAAATAAATACACAATTTTTATAGGCACAAGGTGCTTTACATCTGATGTCTCAGTGGCAAAGCAGCAGATTCAAATAGTGTATTTATTGAGGTAATGACTGTCTGAATAAGCCACTACAATTCTTACTCAAGCTCTTGCCTGCTTTTTCTCTCAAGTTTTAATTAGTAAAATCAGTCAGGATTGAAATACCTTTTGAAGTGTGGCTTTGAGAGAGCTGCTGGTGTTATGTATGTTACGCACACACTTCCCAGGGCATTTGGAACTCAAATTCAGATTAGTTTTAAGTTGTAATTCCTAGGGAGAGCTGTGATTCCTTGAAGTCTTGAGTATCATGCTACAAAGCAACAGCGTTGCAGAGAAGCTTTACATGTTTTAAGAATAAACCCAGAATAGTCCCATTATTGCAGTCTAACATATACCGTAAAACAACTTATCTAACACTTATTTTGCAATTAATTTTTTGCCCAAAGCAGGATTTTGAAGCTGCACTGGAAGAATGAGCCATTTTCAATACCAGAGTTATTTAGAAATGTGTGGGTGTCACATTCTTAACATTTGACTAAAACCTCATCTCCTCTCCTTTAGTGCTGTGCTGTCATTGCTACAGAGAATCAACTCTGTTCTTTGTGTTTCTGGAGCTGGAGGAAGTTGCCTCTACACAGGGACTGTTATATGGAAATTACACTCATTTTAATAAACCCTTTCTAACTTCTGATTTCATTAGAGGGTATTGAAGTGAAATGCTTAGAGAAGGGGGAAGCAAGGAGTCTCAATGAGCCCGTGTGATTGGGGAGCTTCCACAGATGCCCTCAGACTCCTCTTTTTCTCCAATTCTCAAAAAAATCTGTATGCTGTGAACACTTGTAAGACCCTCTCTAACTGTCCTACCTTCTCATGGAATTCCAGACCCTTTCTTTTCCCTTTTTCCCTGGGACAGGTTATCCTTTCTCTTCAATGTTTATGTGTTTTTGGCATGGTTGGGTAGCCTGAATCACCATCCTCTGTTTTTGTGATTTTCCTTCTTTGATGAAATTCTCATCAAGGGTATGGAGGTAACTTCTAATCTCAGGGAAACAGTGTGACCAACTCTTAATAATTGTACTGTGAGGCTCACAGTACTTCACTTTTTTTCCTTGTCTATTTTTCAGAGTCATTGTCTGTGGGGGAGAAAAAACCCCACCTAAAATATCACTTTTAAAAAATCACAAATTCCTTGTTTTTGTGATTTCAGAGAAACTATAGCAAAGGGCAAATATCTAAATGCTAAAAATCAGAATGGCAATGCCCAAAATTAAAAAAAAAACAAAATTTGATTTATGATTTTGAGTTCTTAGGGTTGGTAATACTGGAGAACTTCTGTTCACTGAGAGCAAGGACTTGAAGAGCATTTTACCCCAGTCCTGACCTCTGTTCCATCTCCCTGTCTTAGGGAAGAGATGGTTGGCAAAGCCCCAGAGTCTAACTGAGCATGAAGGGCAGATGTGCCTGTGCATGAGCACCTGTCATTTCATTAGAAATAATTGTATTTTACCAAAACCCCTGAAATTTGCAATCATTGTCTTACAGAACAGATCAAGCCTTCAAGCCTTTTGGTCAGGATAAAATTATTTCTTTCCTTTACTTTGTCTGCAGCTTTTTTATGCTGTCAGTGGGGATCATTCCATCCAGATAAAATTGTGATTAAGAGCTTTGAAATTCCTAAGAATTTCTCTTGGGTGAATCAAGCCCAGACTGATAGGCATCAGCCAATCTGGAAATACTTTGTGCTAACCAGTTACTTTCCTTTATGAGGTCTGAAAATGAAAATGAAACTGTCTGCCCATGGCCCTGGAGACAGGGCTGAGCATAAGATGAAACCCTGAAGGGAAATATCAAGAGCCTAAAATTCTCTTTGAAGAAAATGCTGAGCCTTTATCTGTAGCTGGTATTTGATAAGAAGCTGGCAGTTGGCCAAATGAGTGAATACACTAAAAGGTCAAGAGTTGTTTTTGATTCTCAGCAATTGTTTTTATTTGTTGCAATCAGGTGCTTCCACATGAAGAAAGCACATTTTGAATGTGATGGAAAGGTTGATTTGGTCTCTGATTGTGCCTGTCATTACTGTGTTACCTGAAGGCACAGGTGAAGGTCATGTGGGGGTTTTGTGACACAGGGCTTCCCACCAGGTCAGCATTCAGTGGGCTCAAGCCAGCAAATAGAAGTGTGGCTCAGACCATTGTGTTAGTGCCACCTTCCAAAGCGCTGTTGGGTGAGAAATTTTGGTCAGAATGAAACAGATTATGGATGTAGGTCTTCTGAAAAAGTCAGCATGTTAATAGATGGGATTATGGGAAATCTGACTTCAGAGTTTGATGTCCTGGGGTTTGGATGAAGGTATATGAGCGTTGTTCTCACTAGAGGTTGGTTACATTAGTGCTCCTGAATTTTTCCCATTTAACCAAGTATCTCTCATTAGACATCACTGTCATGAGTTGTTGCCTTTTTATTTTATTTTCTTTTTTTTTTTTTTAATTTTTAAATTGTTTTTATGTGCCTGAGAGTTGTGTACTGGTTGTTCTCATACCTGTTTGACAGAAAGAATGCTGTTGACTTGTGCTGCTGTAGGGATATAGACACACATAAAACTGTGACACGATCCCATATTTTCTTCTAAAAAGCCTTACAGAGCCAAATCCAGATGCTCATCAAGGAGAATAGTCCCACTGACATTTTAGTTGGTTAATTCAGCATTCACAGTACTTGGCTGAAAATTCTAATACATGCCAGGTTCTGAACTCATTGTGCACAAGGTGTTTGTGTGTCTGTGTAAGGCATGTCCAGCCTTAGCTCTGTTATTAACGCTATTTTTGTGTCTTTTTCCAAACAGATGCCAGAGGAGCAGGCATTCTGTGTATTTGTGAAAATAATGTATGACTATGGCTTGAGGGACCTCTACAGAAATAACTTTGAAGATCTCCACTGCAAATTTTTCCAACTGGAGAAGTTGATGCAGGTGTGGCCAGAGTAACAAATTCTCCTTCAATTTGTTTCATAAATGGAAACACTGGCATGAAGAAGAGATTAATGCTTTGCTTCCAAAAGCTATTGGACAATAAAACCCCCTCTCCTTTTAGAGGTTGGGTAAAGCAAAGTTTAATAGCTGAATTCAAGCATCTTGAGTCAGATTTGTTTCTAGTTTCTTTTGTCTCTGATACACCCCTTCTGCAGCTGATCTTTGTATCCAAGCAGGTATTTGCCTTTTCCCCCCCTCTCTGTTTCTGATGTTGCTTAGAGAGAATATCTCTGTGCTATTTGGGCCAGTGTGTCCTTTGGACTGCCTCCATCATTGTCCTACTTCCCATGAATTATGTGGGTGTTAAGAGGTCAGGCAAATCAGGACATCCTGATGCTTATGAAATACCAATCAAGTGTGGACCACTGGGCAGCTTTTATTGTCTCTTCCAAGACTCTGCTCTTTTTTCAGCTGGAACTATTTCATCAAGCAGTTTAACACAACTGAAGGGCTGCAAATGTTATACATTGTTGTTGTGAATAATAAGGCATTACTGAGAGTTCATTAAGCCCTGCCCTCCTGTTGGCACGGTGAAAAGCTGCTTGCTGAAGTCAACTCTCACAGATAACCACAGGTACCTCTGTGGGATATACTGAAACCAAACAAAACAGACTATTGCTAATTTAGTGGTATTTTTTCAGATGTCAAATTGTGCATACTTCATACTTGATGGAGTGGAATTGCATATTAATTAATGTGACACTTCAACATATGGGCTTCTCAATATTTACTTAAGTCCACAAAGATTTTTGTTAACAAACAAAAGAGATTTTATCAACAAATATACTCTAAACAAACATACTTTATTAAGTGATCATGTCATCACTGTTCAGGAGGATTTTCAGTGCTTATTTTGTGTTGTTTGTATGTGTTCCTAGTTAGAGAAATGGTCTGCTGGAGTTGTGTGCTCTGTTGCTTTCAAGCTCTGCAAAGTTATCTGGTTCCTGCAGCCAGTGTTTTTTGTGGCAGAAGCATTCATAGGAAGACACAACACAGCAAAGGAGTAACTTTAAAATATACAGCATGACATAGATTTTACAACTGCTCTGCCTTTCAACTGTTGAAGATTCTGTAATTTCTCAGTATAGTCTCAGTATATTCTTTGATACTGTGATAGAATCCACTGTGGATCTCTTACTAAAAACTGTAACCATGGGCACTGAAATTTATCAAGAAACATCTTCACTGCTCAAAAGAAACTAGGCTTTCACTTTGTTGTGTTTTTGGATATTTAGCAACCCTGGTCCTTACTGAAAGTATGGATGAAGAACTCAAATTAATGAGTAACACTGAAACATTTATTTTTTTCCTTTATTGCAGGAGCAGTTACCAGACTTGCACAGCCATTTCTCAGACCTCAATTTGGAAGCTCACATGTATGCATCCCAGTGGTTTCTCACTCTTTTTACTGCCAAGTTTCCACTCTGCATGGTCTTCCACATCATTGACTTACTACTTTGTGAGGTAAAAAAATATTGAATCAGAAATTCCTTCCTCCACTCCATCAATGTTTCTTCTTGTTTTATTTTGTTTTGTTGAAGTCCTTTACTGTTTAATTATAAAATCTGTGTAGTTATGTAGAAACCATGGTTATATGGAACAGAATATGTTCAGTGAAACACTGGTTTGGTTTTAAAATTAGAACTGTGGATTGCCTCATTTTTTTGCTGAGGGGTCTAATGAGGAATATCTGAGGCACACATCTTGTTGTTAATTTAATTTGTTAAATGATTATTCAGAGTTAGGAATTGTCATTTCTTGAAGACACCTAGCAAGGAAAGCTTTCCAAGTGGCCTGGCTCAGAGTGCCACAGACAGAAATGATGGCCTGGTATTAAACAGAGTGAGAAGGGAGAAACACAACTGAATGAAGCTCCTTCCTTTTGGTTCTTTTCCCTGCAGTTCCAACTAGGAATACAAAATGATGTGTGTCTGTGCTGTAGATATATCTACACTTTTTTTAAAAAGCCAGTCAGAATAGGTTGATAATCTAGAATATTTATTTTGGTAAAAAAACAGTCCTTCCTTCAGTAAATGGGAAGTCCATGGCATTTACACCTGCTTTTAAATCTGATTTCATCTCCAATTTCAAGGGGTCACAAACATGAAAATAAATAGATAGATAAAATATTTGATAATTTTAAATGGTGAATGCTTCACTAGTAGGAAATACTGTTGACTGTAGTTCATTTTGTTAATTTTTATTGTGAAGTATTTTCTCTGACAATCTTCAGGCTTGCTGCAGGTGCCTTGGTAGGATTCAGTCCTCGAGACTATTTCTTATTCTGCATATTGGTGCTCAGTTATCAAAGCAATGTAGGGTAATATTGGCAATGTTTATCTCAGTGTGTCTGAAGAAATTGGGGTGGGAAAGAAGGTGAAAATCCAAGGAGAAACCAAGGTGAAATCCAAGGGGAAAGTAAGAGTGCAACATCAGAACACGCTAGGGAAAGGGAAACTTGTTAGTGTTTGTGGAGGGTCATCACACAGAGCTAAAGGAACCTCTTTTACTACAGCCAAAAATAAACCAGAAAAAGTAAGAAAAGTTATTTCAAGCGAGAAGATACATGCAGACATCTTGAGAAAGAGTTGGGCAGTGGCAGACAAAGTCCTGAGGCACCAGTGTGGGCTATCACAAAAATGCTCCTCAGAGTCAGGAGTCAACCACTCTCAAAGTTGGCCCTTATTATAGACAGCAAGTCAGTTCTGTAGGTGTATGGCCACAGGCAGAGCCAGGAAAAAGCCATTCCTTGACAGAAAACTGAAGTTGTTTGTCCAGTCAGCCTCTGGAAGGAATTATGGGGGGAATCAAAACATAATTTTTTCTGCATTAAATTGTTCCTTACTTTATCTCTGAACAACCAGCATGCTGGTAATTCTGGCAACTGGAAGGAGAAAAAACAGTGGCAGCTGCTAACACTGAAACATATTCTGCAGAAAAAAAATCCCCAGAAAAGCAAGAAGCCTTTGAAGTGAATTGTTTTAAGTTTTTAAAAACAAGCTTCCAGCCTTTTCCTTAATTTTTTATAGATACAGATGAATTTTAAATACCTTTCAAGATCATGACTTGTGCTTTCTCCATCCTTGTTCTGTCTGTAGTTACAAAATGTTCACATTCTATGCAACTCTTATAGGAAAGAAAAAATTAGGGGAAGAAAACCATTTAGAACCATTGCTGCTAACTAATAATTTTTAGGAGAGTCACTCTGGTTGCCTTGAAAATATTTGAATTATGGGTGAACAATTTGTGTCTTGGAATAGCTCATCTCTAGAGGTCTCTTCCAACCCCAACCATCCAGTGATTCCATGTCAGGCAAGAGTTTTAGTATTGGCTTGGGTTTTTGACTTTTGATTGTGGCTGGAAGAGTGAAATCAATCCTTACAGATACTCAGCTTTCAATTCAGAGATGAGAAATACCTGTTGGAAGTGCTGTAATTTCCCAGTTGACCAGGGAGGCACATTTCCTTCCCCTGCCTGCACAGAGGCACAAGCTGAGGCTGGAACTCCTGGGTAGAAGCAGAACTATGAAAAAGGAGCTGAAGTTATGATGGGAATTAAGTTTTATGGAGGAATTTTTAAAATCCCATCAAAGTGAGTGTCATTACAGTCAAGGTCTTCTCATCATTCTCACAGGAAATACTGCTTCAGAGCGGTCTGATTAGCACAAATTTGGGATTTGCCATAGCTTCTGTGTGACTGAGTTATTTTATTCTGTTGTCTTCTAGCACATTTTTTATTGTTATTTTTTTAAAGTTGTAACCAGGCTGTTGAAGATGTGAATAAACCCTCCAAATTGCTTCAATTTCCAGTGATCTTAGAATATTACCTGAGTAGTTCTAGAGTAGAATCTGTCCCCCATCCCCATGTAGAAATGAAACATTTTTGAATTCTTTTTCTTCCCTGTGACAGAAGCTTGAGGAGAATTTTGGGCTTCAGGCAGGTACATCACCACACTGCTGTGGTACATCTTATAAGGCTCAGCTGCTTGTAATAAAAACACAAACCTATTGATCCAGGTGGAAGTTTTAATGTGATTGTAGCAAACTGTGTGGGTTGGAGCCTGGAGATCTTTCTACAAGGCTCCTTTTAGCTGCCTGTTGCAGCTGTTTCATTTTTCTTTTCCCCTTTGCTATTTCTGTTTGCATTGAAGAACATTTTTGTTGATGAAAAGCAGAGTTGTATTTGGATTTGTCAGTCTTATCTGTCAATATGACATGATGTTATTGAACACTTCCCAAGCCTGCTCTGTTTTGCTGTCTCTTTTTGTTCTATTTTAAATTATTTATTTAAAGTCATACTCAGAAATAGCAATTCATCTAGGTAAAGCTCTTGTCACTCAGAGCTGTCCTCAGAGCAACAGCTGCACCTCGGCTGTGCTACAGAATATCAAACAGTTGACATTTCACTTCATGTTGTGTTTTAAACTATTCAATTTAAAATGAAAATGTTTGTTTGAAAAACACTAAATAAATGACCTTCAGTAGGCATTTAGAAGAGAAAAACAATCCAAACCACTTGGCAGATAATCTGTAAGCGTTTTCAAAATTGTCATGATTTTTTTTTCTGCTTAAAAAAGAAATTTTTTTAACCTTTTGTGATATATACAGTTCTGCCAAAACTAAAGGAGGTGCAGAGCTCAAGCTGTCACTCCATTATTAGCTGAGAATATTGAAACACTATGGGTAACCTCCATTTTAGGTTGATCTGGCTATTTTGTGTGCAGTTTTGGGGCATATAAAATACCTAAGGACAGTACTTCTCTCCTTTTAAGCAATATGCAAAATCCTCTCCTGCATGCTGCCCTTCCTGGGGTGGCACAGACAGCTCTTTATTTTAGTGTTATAGTACATAATTTGACTATGTAATTTGACTACTAAGCTGCCATTCTGACTGGATCCTGACTGGATACAAAGGGATGCAGCTGATTATCAGTTTTGGGTATGAAATTATTTAATGTTTACTAAAATAGCTAATAGCAAAGAAGGAAAAGTGCTTTTCACAGGACCACAGAGCACAGTGCAAGAAGGGGGAATTGAAAGCTAAGATGCCATCACTCCTTGGCCTTTATTTCTCAACTATTGCTTTCAGATTAATGTTGAAAATACTTTATATAATCGATTTTGAGAAATTGTCTGTTACAGTGAAGGCTGATAGGTGTCTTTAAAAATCACGTAAAATGTGAACACCGTGGTGCTGCTAAACAAGCACTTACTGATAGCTAAAACCTGGCACCACATTGTGGAGATTTACTTATTGGGAGCACTCCTTCCTAATGAAACATTGAAAATCAGAGCAGAATCACAAGTATTGATGCTGAGGAGTTGATTTCTGTCTTGTGTGTGTCTTGCTGGGGATGGATGTGCCAGGAGACGCCGTCTGGTAGCGCTCAGGGCTGGCCGAGGAGGAGGGACCATCACAGCCTGCTATTTTTTATCTGTCACTGTCACAGTCTTCTGTGATGCCTTCAACAGAGCTGAGAAAGAACAGATGAACATTTCAATTTATTAAACTTCCTCAGGAATTGAGTCAAGAACAAGCCCACTTCCTCTGTAAATCTGCACTGAGATGAAATGGGAATTAAATAGAAGACTGTTGTTTATCTTTTGTGGATCTATAGGGGAAGAAAAATTGAACTTTTTAAACTTACTTGCATTGCCATGTTGTCTACATTTGTTAACCCTTCCAGTTATGAATATTTTAAGAAATCATACAAAACACAAGAAAAGACTTGCTAGAAATAAAATCTCTTATGGTAACAGCATATTAAAAGCTGGGCTTAAATTCTAAGTAAGCATAGATCTGTGCTGGAGCTGTCTGTGTTATTTCAGTAGTATTTACCAGAGTGAAGTCAAAGCCATCCATGTTCGTTGGAAAAGGCCAGGAGCCGTCTGTTTGTGTTCCTTTTAGGAATACAGACAAATAAATGTTGGCATTTAGGCTGTGTCCTTCCCTCTGCCCAGTCCCTTTGCATCAGGCCTGCTGGAGAGCTGAGTCTTGCTGAAGTCCTTATCAGCCACTGCTGTTCCATGTAAAGAGACTGGAAAGGATTTCTTTCCCAGACTGCTATAATTAGCTTTTAATTAATTTAGAAGAAGGAGAATAGGTTTTCTCAGACTCCAGATGGATGACTGGAATTTGAATGTGGATGTCCAGTGGCACTGCTGGTTTGCTGCACTCCAGGATCTGTTGACGTGTCAACTATCTTGATAATTTTTGTTGCAGAAGGGGGAGGTCTGCAATAGAGATAACCTCAGGTTTACTAGACCTGGATGTTTGGCTTTTATGTTGTTAGATGAGTTATTAAATCCAAAGGAAAAGTAATTTTAGCCTAATTCATGTGATGATCTACAGCTGTAATCCACTGTGGGGGCTTTTCAGCACTAGAACAGAAATTAAGATAAAAAGAAAGAAAGAAGGGTGTCGGATTTGATTGTGTGTGTGCTGCATGAGGAACTACTTAAAGC